AAGAAAGCAATGTGGCTACTGTAAAAGGGAGTCATGATTTACTGATATTTACAGATCCGTTGCAGTTCTCTGAAGCAATCATGGAACATGTAGACTTCCCATTTAATCACAACTTTTTAAAGACACCTAAGTATAGAATTTACTACAAGATAATACAGAAATTAGTATCTGATAATCATTAAACCTAAAGACAGAATCAGAACATAGGATAGAACATAGAACTAGGCTGGAATCTATGAGTAAATTACAGCAGCTTCAGTCAAGTTAGCTTTAGTTAGACTAAGCAGGAGTTATAGCATCAGAAACTGTCAAAGGTAGGGGACAGATGGACTGAGTCTTTCCACAAGCAAAAGATTAGGAAGAATAGCTTGAATGCCAAGTAGCCAGCAAGCACGCTTTGTCTGCATTTAATTTCCAAACACACCTCCTAGACAAGTACCACAGCACAAGAATTTGCCATATCATATTAGTATCACACTGGTCTTCATTTAATCATATTGTGTGATTAAGTTAGTAAGTAAAGTTCTTGTTATCTGCTACCATGAAAACGTACTACTTACTGGGTGGGTCCTCTGGGATTTGCCACATAAACATATGAGCCAAGAGAATCAATGTCCTGTGTGAGGAACTTTGCAACGAGGATTCTGTCCAAGTTAAGATGATTTTATGTTGTACAGAAGTTTACCGCAGTGTGTAATTCGGACCAATCACTTTGGGAAAGGTAAGAAGTGGCAAGAAAGCAAGTTTCACAGTATCAAGTGAATTAATGAAATGATGAAAGAAAAAAGGGAAGTATTTAAATTATCAGGGTATTAGGGCAGACACTGAAGTTGTACGTCTCAGCACTAAAATGTTGCAGAAGACCACTCGTCTGGACAACAGGAGGGACAGAATCAGAAAACAAAGAAATTGGGATAAAGCATTCCAGTGCTTTTAAATGTACCGTGAAAAATTACATTGCTCAGAGAAGAGATGGACTGGCTAGTGCAGATAAACAGTCCAAGTCCATGGATGATTCAGGTGATTTGTACAGTCACTTGCAGACTTTGGCAGACACAATGGTAAAAGTTAATGAATCCATCAGAAGTTGCCAGGACTTCACCAACTCTGTTTCTCTTGCTTTCACAGGAAAGACCAAAAAAAAAAAAAAAGGTTGAAACTCATAAAAGTACCTCATACATAACCCAGGAAAACGTGCAACATTCAGAACTTCTTGAAAATCTCAGGGAAAAAAAAAAAAAACCAACAAAAAACCCCCCAATCCCAAACTGGAAAAACAAGAAGTGAAAAAATGTGACTTGAGGAAGATCCAAACTTTGACAGATAAAAATCCAAGCTGGCTGGGTTTAACACTAACCATGCTGACACACCCTAGAGAGACAGAGCACATCCAGACTCATGAAAAAGTAACCCATCCCTCCTGGTATGGTACTGCGCCGGTGGCACATCAGCTGCAATGGCTGGCGGCTGCCTGTGTCAGGTCTCCAACCAGGGAAGAGCCAGCCAGATGCTAGACAGGATGCTTTCCCAGACAGGTGAGGATGCTTTCAGTCAGTGGTGAACCATTTCATTGCTGCCAAATTCAAAGAGGATGCTGAAAATAGGGAGCCTTTCACCTCTGTTGTAATTAAAACTCTGGCTGAGCAAAAACCAAGGAAGTGCACTCTCCTCCAACAAAAGTGCCATGTCACTAGATCACTAACTAGATCCTAAACCTGGTCAGGAAGAGAAAAAACGCTTTTTCCCCCCCTCTTTTTTATTTTTCTTCATAAATTACTTCCCAAGCTCTAGGCAAAAACTGGACATACCATGCTCTTCAGAAAAAGGGTTCCAGCAAATGGCAAAGCTCAGCGTACCTATACCACAAAGAAAACTAATTCTGAAAGAGAGCAAACCAATCTCAAAAACAAATGGGAGGATCTGGCTTTACCTTGCTGCTGCTATGTCAAAGTTTCATTTGAACAGAGTAACCAGGACCATTTGGATGAAGGGGAAGTAATGCGGGAATGTAGTATGTGTCTCAAACCTGTAAGAAAGGAGTTGGGGCCATCAGGAACTCTTTTCATTTTCCTTCACGCATGAAGAGTTTCAACTAAATCAAGGGTATTAAAACCTTTGGAACCCAGTTTTCCCTGTTCCAAGAAAGAAATCAATTAATGTTGAGTGTTAAATTGCTGTGGTCACTGCTACTCTTTCTGGCCAGGCAAAGCCAAGTTTTCTCCTAGGGGAAAAAAAAAAAGACAACAAAATCAACTAACCAAAGGAATCCAGGTAGCAAGTGAAGACCCTGACCAGAAACTACTCACTGGTCATGCTGAGAGGGTACGTTCGGATTATGTTCAAGATTCAAACGCTGCGGATGGCATAGTCCCTGGGAAGGGCCTCCCACTGGTCCTGCATTCTTAGGAGGCTTAAGCCGTATGTTGGCTCCACATTTCTCTCACAGGTAGGTTGGTGAGAACCTAAAATGCATGGTCCAGTCACTAAGATCAATTCCACATCCTCTGTCTCCTCCCGTGCTTCAACACACTGAACTGGCTGCGGCTCCTGGTGGCGTCTGTCCTGAAGAGCAGGTTGGGCCTGGAGATGCACTTGGCCAGCACTGTAAGATGAACTTTGCATCACATGTTTGCGGCCAACATTAGGAAACCAAATTCTGGAGAGAGATCTGATCAAACCTGTGGACAATGGCACCAAAATGTTTTGCAGAGATTTGCAAGTACCGGAAGAGAAACATCTTGCTTAAACCCTGGCAACTGGGACATGGTACAGCAGACTTTGTCAGCTGTTTTACAGTTTTCAGTTCCAGCTACTCTGCACACAGGAACAAGTCAGGCTGACTTGGAAGCAATCGTAAAAAGAATCTCTTTATGGTATGGCTTAAAAAAGAACGTCTAATACATTGAATGATACAAAGCAGAAATTTGAAGAATTTCTTTTTAAATGGTTACATACCCCATCTCCTTAAATACTTCAGGAAGACCAGAATTTTACACTTTTCTCCAGAATGCTCAGCCTTTCACCATCAATACAGCTAGGTCTCATGTCTCGGAGATTAGTATAATAGATGATATACTGATTTTCTGTCTCAGAAATGCCCGAGATCCTCTTAATAGAAAGAAAAAGTGACTAAAGCATTAGGCAAAGTTTCTTAATGTTTCTAAGTAGCTACAGGAAAGGTTCTTACATGGATTAAAAAACTGGCCAGATAGGAATATTGAGAGAGGGAGAAAATCTGCCAATACACACATCCCTTTTACATGATATGCAAATATCCCTGCATGTGACAAGCCTCGCACATTTGGAAAAAAAGCCCCAAAAACCTGAAGAGTTCGACTTCATGACAGTTGAGACAGGTCTTCAAACCCATTTCCGTAACATCTTTTCTATCAACCATTGGTGGGACAAGAAAAACCTCCCAGTACCTTAGTTTCAGAAGAAAATACATTCTTTCCTACAACGTTTTTATTCTTTGTATTGAAGGTACCAAATCGTCAAAAGCTGCTATGCTGCAGTTACAGAACTTGTTTGTTGTTTTGCCACAGTTTCCCATTCTTTACATGCATGGAGGAGAAAGATGCTTTTCCTGGTAAAACAGCAAAAAAGGAATTCTCTTTCTGGATTGCCAATCAACAACAAAAGTGTGCAGTCAGCTTTGCAGTGATTTCTGAAACAGTAAAAAGCAGCATTTTTTCATCATGCCTTGACATTTTCCTGTTCACAGATGTGAAACCACTGTTTTCTATTGATATTAAAAGCAAACATATTAAAGTCCTATTCAGTAAAGGTAATAAAACAGAAGAGTCATGTACAATGCTAGCAAATAAAAGATATTTACATTGTAATTTCACATTCTGTCATCTCCTGTAATGAGAAAATAATAACAAACTTGCATTAAGATCTCCTGTCAGGGAAGAATGCCAGTTCTTGTCTTTAAACATTTGCACTTCAATTTTTGCCTACCTGTTCTTTTCAGATCTGTTGCTCAAGCATTCAACACTTTACGTGTTTCCTCCATTATCTATCTGTTCAACCAAGATTATGTACATCAACTGGGAGATGATAAATGGAGCGTGAAGACAGGTCACATTACTATGAAAATCCCCTCCTACAGGTAGTGAGCAAATGAGAAAATCTCACAGAGAGATGACAAACTTAATTTACTCTGCGTGTCCCATTCTGTCCAACAGGATGATTCACTGCGTGTCTCTGATGCGTGAGCTATGGCATAGGTGAATTCAGAAAGAGAACATGCAAATCCAAGCAGGTGCACTCTCCGGTTTTAACAAGTTCCCTTCGTTTTTTGTAGGTCAGATGCTTCTTTTTCTTCAAGAAGCCAGCAATACTTCGCCATTTATTTATTTAAGGTAATGTAAGAAATGGGTGTATCAAACCAAAAACCTGATGGAAATATAATCACAAAGGGCATGGTATTTTTTGCCTTACACCCCTAAGGATGCAATTGAACTGTTCTGTCCCATAAAAGTATTTTAAATCATTGGACAAAATCCAATGCCTTAGTCATGCTAAGAGGCAGCAGCCAACAGCCTGTGTGTATTGGCTGGTCAATTGCTGGGTCTTCTGTTCGGCCCAGGGGGGGGGTCGGGAAAACAAGG